TTTTTACCTGTTTTACAGATATGGAAACTGAGACTCAGAGAGGTTAAGTAAGTGGTCTGAGTTCATACAGCTTACTGTCAAGGGAAAGAACCAGGATGTGAACCTTAACCAAAATGGTTCTGCTTTATAAAAGTAAGATGATCGACATGTCAAGATAGTGTGCCGTCTCCTCCTCCTGCTCTACTTCTTCCTCTACTTTTTATTTGGTGCCCTTATTCCCCTCATTTCTTCCCTTCTTTCCCTCTCCCTGTCTGTCTGTCTGTCTCTCTCTCGTAACCATTATTGCTGTTATCGTCATATGCACTATAGTAGGGTTGGGTTTTGATAAGGAGCAAACCAGAGCTGGGCAAAAGAATAATCACAGCGTGGTCCATAGCTGAAGATCTGACTGTCTTTATATCACCAAGTGTTTCTTGAGAATGTACTATATACCATGACCGGCTGGGTGCAGAGACTCCATACATATAAAGACAATGTGCTTCCTCCCTTGGGGTAAGACATGTACATGAATAACTATAATATGAAGAAGAAGCAACTGCCTGTCATAAGAAAGAGATAAGTGCAAGAAGACTCCAAGAGGAAAAAATTAATTACAGGTAAGGGGATCACGGACTTTGCACCAGTGTCCAGGGAAAATAATACTTGCCTCTTTCTAAATCATCAGAATAACTGGGTATGTGGTTATTAAATGTCAAGGAGAGGGGGAGTGGGATAAAGTGTTAAAATTAGGGAGACTGGGTTTGGGAAATATCATATGATAACACCCTTCTCCCTCCTTTAGACACCACTCAAGAATTTAATTCCTTCAAGTTTCATCAAGGCAAAAGAATATTTACTGTAGAATTGTGTTCTTAGATGGCTAGAGGATGGAAGGAGGGAGTGTGGAGGATGGGAGGGTTATCCTCTCATGTTTCACAGATGTTGATTTCAAGTTTCCACCTGGTAACAGCCTAGGGGCCAGGGCATAAAGATACAAGTCAAAACATAGAGACACACACAGAGAGAAGTAACAACATCCAGCAAGGGAATTGCAAAAACTCAAAAAAAAAGCTTTCCAGTGGCTAAATAAATATCTTTCCTTGTATTTGCACTTTCTTTTTTCTATTTACTGAAATTTGGAAAGGGCCATAGACTCTATTGGCTTTTCAAAGTTCTGGATTATATAAAGGTGTAGTCTATGAAAATAGAATTTTTCATATACAGGCTAAATGAAATTGTGACCAACTTTTTGTATCTATGTGTTTTATTAAAAAAAATAACTGGTGGGCAGCAAGAAAGATTTTAAATGATGTGTGATGAAAGTAATAAATGACATACTTTTCATATAAAACCATGGCTCTCTTCCAGGACACTTTAGAAATATGTTCAAAATATATAGAAAATCTCCACAGCATAGTACTCGAATTTGCACAAACAGCCCAAGGCAAGTAAGAATCCGAATGAGTATTTCCACATGAGACTACTCATTTATTTTCACAGACCACATTTAAAATAACTACAAGATTAATTTCATTCCATTCGCCAGACTTATCCTGAAAGCAAGAAAAACTGGCATTTAGGAAGTATGATCAATGTTACTTATAAACAAGACTGGAAAGAGTGGACAGTGGAGTGGGGGTTGGGGGTGGAAAAACAAGCCCTTTAGTTACAATATTTTAGGGAAATGAACCGACACAATCAAAGAAATTTCAAGTCCAGTTGCTCCACTGTACTACATAAGCAGTTTAGAATCTTAAGCAGATGCAAAAGGAATAAAGCAAATGAGGAGAAAACATGGCCGATAAAGTTTCTGGCTACAATACAAGAGACATATCATTACCATATGATCTAATGTGGGTGTCAGCCGGATTGTGTTCATTGAGGGAAACCTTATTTTTTAACTGTGCTATGGAGTAGAAGCAGGAGATTTTCAACCTAGTGACAGTCACAGAGCAGCACCTACCCCCTCCTTCTTTCCACACCTGCAAACTCTTTTGCTTGCGCTGAATATTTAGTGTAATTACATCTCAGCTTTGAGGGCTCCTGTGGCAAATCCCCGGATTAAAAGGTATGGTTTTCAATAATTGTCCTGAACTCTGCTACAGACTAATAAAACTTCGATCCAGTTGAGAGAAAAAGGAATTACTTGATGAGAAAAAGAAAAGAAAAAAAAATTGTGCTAAACTTTTAATAATCTTTCTGCAGCCTTTTAAACAAGTCTTGCTTGAAAACCGAAGTTAAATATTTGGTAAAATGGTTGAATGCATTGTTTTAGTTCTTTCTCTCTGTTCTTGCAAAGATGTTTATTAAAAAAACTATAACCTAACACCATAATTATCTATATTGATATATCTTGTATTTCTACTAATGAAATGTTCAGTTCTTTAAGAAGTGTTTGTAGAAAAGTATTCCAGACTAGCATACTATTTGTACTTGGTTTATATATTTAAGGATTTATTCCCCTCCTGAATTCTTGTATATTTTGAGAACTTTTAAAACCTCAGAGAAGTGAACTCTGGTGATTAGCTGTAGAAGTCTAACGTATATTTCTACAACCTAGAAAAGAATAGAAATTATCACCAGAAAGGTGAAAATAAACATTGAAAATATTTATGTTGATTACTAAAGACTTAAGATAACTGCACAGTTAGCTACATAATTCCTTAAATGTAAAGGACTTTGAGACCCTGTCAGTATTTTCAGTGCAAATGAAATTTTATTATAAGATACATTCACTGTAAAATGAGGATAGAGGTTATTTTTCTTTCTAATTTCAAAACAGGGTTACATGATGACCACTGGTTAAGTGGGCTCCCAGTTTAAATACCTGTGGCTTTTTCTTCCAATTACTGTTTTGACCAGAAAAAAAACCAAATGCCTCCTATAGTAGCTCTTATGTATGGATAAATGCTGCTTTTATTGTTTATTTTTAAATTATTTCTATTATTACTAAGGTTCTTACGTTATGTAGTGCTGGGAGATTTTAATTTTGCTCTGCATTTATAGCTTCACTTATCTTTCGAGGGTTAAATTTTGATTTTGAAAGTCACACCAAAGGCATAAATGACATCATACAAATGTTGATCAGAATGATATAGTTAATTTAACGGGCTAAAGTAGTTTAAGGAACCAGAAATTATTATGTTTGATAAAACTCATAAACTATGGCAGTGAGCTATAGTGGAGTAGTGACATTCTTCTTAGCAATTAGCATTTAGGAAAGAGTCATACATTCCAGAATACTTAAAACAGTTTCAATGAAATTTAAAAAGTATATCATCTCAATAGTAGTCTCCTTGGTTTCTACATGGGCAACTGCTGTTTTCTTGTTTATTTTTCTGATTTATTATGGAAGGAAGGAAATGATTAAAGAAATCATTAGTATCAACAGCCCACATAAATTGTTTTAAGATGTTGAGTCCTCAAGTATCATGACACTAATTTAAAAAAAGCTATTTCATGGGGGGATTTGTATAAAGTTTCAGGACAAATTATTACTCTTCCCCAGGACATTCAGGATTAAAAAGCACACACACACGCACACAAACACACACATGAAAGTGATGTAAAATAAGTAATGGAAGCTATAAGCTGCCTGTATGCATTCAGCTTCAACCAAAAAGAATATTGTGTAGAGGATTTGCACCATGTTAACGAGAATAAACAAAAATAAATGATAATCTTCCTCTGAGTTAATACTTAACATTTCCTTTTTTGGCTTAGTGAACCAACCAGGCACTTTCTGCTCTGGAGAAAAGATCAAAAAGCGACATCTGCATTAATTCTTGTCGCTATTTATTAAATCTGCAATGACTTTGCTTCATTTTTCTTCTACAATTGTAAGACGTTAAATATGCAAAGCCAGCAAATCTGTGGTAAACCGTAAACATTGCATTTTAATGTGAAACAGACAGAAAACCACTCCCTTAGATCCAATGCAAGGGAACACTGCCAAAACAATAGGGTCTCCTTTAAAGGACAACGTAGTAGTAACCGAGTGGGAATGGGCTCCAGGAGAAACTTGATCCCGAATTTAAAGGGGCAGTGTGAATAACAGTCTTCGTGGTATTTTTTAAATGAAAAACCACAAGCCTGTATTGTTATGGGCTGCCTTAGACATACTTCAGCAATAAATATAAACTAAGAATAAAAGTATAAGAAATTGAAAAATATTTGTTTCCTCTCTAGTGGATCTAGGTAAAAATTTCTAGAAGATACATTAGGGTTAGGGCATACAAAGACTTTCTCTTTCTTTTTTTAGCGTATGCTATAATTGGATAATGACTCCAAACAATTCTTTAATTCTAGTTATGAATGTGCAGCTTTAATACAGATTCTTATAAGTGTCCAATTCAAAGTGGAGATGATGAGACTAAAGATATATCTGCAATATGTTTTGGAAATACTTAGATATATATCACCTCAAAGACAGACTGTCTGTTCTCTACATGATCTACTACTTTTTGTTATTCAGATTTATTAAGATTTAGTTATTTGAATTTATTTAGATCGCTTCAGCCAACTAAACAGCCAACTCAACAACGTAGATACGTATACCTATAAGCGCTTATTGAACAAATGGGTAAATATTGTATCGATTTGTCGAAACTGTACTTTTTTTTTTTACAAAATAGCTGTATTGATAAAACCAGATAACATATGTCATCTAAAAATCAGTTAAGATTTTCCATATGTGTTTATTGGTTTATTAAAAATTATCAGTTTGAGAAACTAGTCAATAGATTTATTTTTAAAAGTGAATCTTGCTTATACCAAGTGGAGATTTTCAATTTGATCTCTTTCTTATGCTAGAAATTTGATATTGAAAAAAGATTATTTTGTGTTTTAAAAAATCAGACTGATTGGTTGCCTGGAAAAAATTGAATAAGTTGTATTGTTAATAGATTGATGGTCAATTGAGTCATTTGTGTGCAAAATATTGTGCAAGGCTCAGGGGTACAGAACAAAGAATAATAAGACACGCCCTGAGGGAGTACATCTTCTAGTGTGGGGGACAGACCAAGCACGCAAAACAAATTACAATAAAATGTGATAAGTTCTTTAAAAGAGGTAAGAGCAACGTGCTTTGGGAGCACAGAAGAGGGAGAGAGTGGCATCCTACCTGAATGAGCCGGGGAATACACAAGGGAAGCCCGTTTTCTCATTTAATCTTTACAACACTCTTACAAGGTAGGTATTTTAAATGGCAATTAGCTTTGAGTATGAGAGTTGAGGCGGGGACTGGGAGTGGAGAGAAAATGGAGAGAAATGTGGCTTGAAATATCAGTTGCTACCAAATTATGAGTGGTCTTACATGCAACAAAAGGGATGTGGACCTTACCGGCAAGCCGTGATAAGTCAACCAAAGGTTTGCAGTAGAAGGTTAATATAATGAAATTTAGTTTTTAGAAGATAACTTGGGCAGTAAAGTGGAAGATGGCCTGGAATAGGGGAAATATTCAAGGAAGAGACCAGTTGGAAGCTCTTGCCATAGTTCTGGGAGTGATGAGAATGGCTTGGACCAAGATAAATACAGTAAGATGGAGAAATGAGATTGGCTTCCAGAGATATTTCTGAAGCAGGACTTGGAGATCTCTCATGTGTAGAGATAAACCTTTATTTGACTGAGGCATGGCTTGTGTTGAGGGAACGTTGAAAATTCCAACATGATTTATCATCATGACAATTTTGCAAATGATGTGAATATATAATATATTGTCTTAATTCAGACTCAAAATTCAAAACAAGCAAATTTAAATAAATTCAAATGTCTCTTCATAAGTAAACAGATGTGCCAGTTAGTCTATAATATACCTTTCAAACACGTTTTTAATGCTCTGCTTCCTAACAACAAATGAAATATTATTTTTTATGCTTTTCTCTATGCTCACTCTACTATGGAGCGCTATATAAGAAATGACACATAAACTAGGCAGTGTTACTCTTCTAAACCTTTCATTTGTTTCCTAGAATCCTTGGTTGTGAAAATACGTGAGATAAATCATGAAGGCAACCATCATCTTCCTCCTGCTTGCACAAGTTTCCTGGGCTGGACCATTTCAACAAAGAGGCTTGTTTGATTTCATGCTAGAAGATGAGGCTTCTGGGATAGGCCCGGACGATCACGTTCCTGAGTTTCCTGACTTAGAGCGTCTGGGACCAGTGTGTCCCTTCCGCTGTCAATGCCATCTTCGAGTTGTCCAGTGTTCTGATTTGGGTGAGTGGGGTGCAGGCTCTCTTTACCTACCTTGTTTGTTTTCTTCATGGGAATTGCTTTCCTGAAAATTTAGCTTTTTCTCTTTTAATCTCTTCAATTCCAAAAGTGAGAGACAGTGCCACCTAATGAGCAGTGAAGGAAGCAGAGTAGGAGAGAAAAAAGTCGCTTTGAGGTTGAGACTTTTTTTCTAGCTTCTTAAAGTCAGAATTCCATCACTTTGCAGTCTTGGACAAGTCATTTATTATTTTTTTCAATCTTTCTGAGTTTCATGGCTCCCTGCTGTAAAATAAAATTTTGAACAAAACAGTGTCTTATGTTCTAGGATTGCAGAGTGATGGTTTATTTTAATTCTGTGATTTGCTTTCATGAAATCTTAGATATTAAGAAAAGTTGGTCACGTCTCTCTACTCTTGGCTTAGCTCAGAGAACAGAGTTTGAGCACCACTAAATTGTAAAATATGCAGAGTTATCAGAAGCAAAGCAAATAAATTTTAGAGCAAAAAATTATTTTTCAAATACCAAAATACTCCCTTAATCTCTGGGTGTTAGTTCCGCCTTTGCTTTGGCATTTTGCAATCCAGCTGTTTATATTCTTTAGAAAATTTCAAAGGAAATCTTTATAACTAAGTATGGTGTAAATATTCAATATAATCATGGAGCATATATCTTTAGCCTAACGTTGTAAATACAGTTTGATTTATTATCTTGCAAGAGAAATTTGGCCTGGAAATTCCAAGAGCAATACACTTAGAAGATAAATCTCCAGAAAGTTTGAAGCCCCAGCAGAAGGGCCAAAGGGGAATGAATTTTGTTTACGTGGCAGCTGATTCACATTCCTCTTTTCTTCTGGTACATTTTCTTATTGGAAAGAGAAAAGAAAAAAGCCTCACAGAATGATTCTGCCACGGTGCATTTCCCTATGGAAAAAACCCATACCATAGTAGGGCACTTCTTTTAGAGGCCCTGTATTTATTCAGAACATGCTTTCTAGAAGTGTTTTGCAGGAAACATTGCCACTAACTTCTACAGTTAGAATAAACTACATCCAGGAACCCAGGAGAACAGAAAATATGTTAAATATTAACAATTGAAAAACAAACACTTTGAGATAGCTTCTTCAACGCTGACATATATTGTATAGCCATTTAAAACCTAAATAAAGAGTGTATAGAAAGGCTTTCAAAAGGCTACAGGATAATTTGACTAGATTCATTCATTCATTCATTTCGCAAATATATTGAGACCCCACAGTGCGCCAGATCTGCTCTAGGCCCTGGGGAGAAAGGTATGCGGAAGACATGTATGGTCTCTGTTCTTGTGGATCTTACAATCTACTGGTGGTAATTATGCTTTTTTGAATTGTATATTTGCTACAGGGGAGAATAGATTACTCTCAACTCTACAGAATCTTTTATAAGCACCTAGAGATTACCTGCATTGTTTGGGCTGGAAAATAACGGGGTTGAAAATATCTGAACAAAGGAATCACCATATGATGGATATACCAGTGGTAACTTACTCAAAAGTTACTAAAATGGCCGAGTTCCTAAGAGATGTGATACAAGTTAAATCTCTTTGCTTCTGAGAACACAGTTAAAACGAGTCATGATTATTCTCACTATGTATATTATCAACAATGAAGGATTGATATATATATTTTTTTTGTGAGGAAGATCGGCCCTGAGCTAACATCTGCCAATCCTCCTCTGAGGAAGACTGGCCCTGGGCTAACATCCATGCCCATCTTCCTCCACTTTATATGGGACGCCGCCACAGCATGGCTTGCCAAGCAGTGCGTCAGCGCACGCCAGGGATTCAAACTGGCCAACCCCGGGCCGCCGCAGCAGAGCGCACGCACTTAACCGCTTGCGCCACTGGGCCAGCACCAGAAGGGTTGATATTTTTAAGGAAGGAAGATTTGTCCAGTCACTTGACTGAAGTTTTATTTTTCCATAAATAGAATTTTACTTTGCTTGCATGTTAAATAGTTCATAAAGCTTGACTCTGATGAAAGCATTGGGGCAATTTTTCCCCCAAGCCTATTGCTCAAAACTAGACAGAAAAATGTAGTCTTAGAAAAACATCAAGTTCATTGACTTGGATGTCTCATGAGACACTTTTGTTGTTGTCCTTGTTGTTTGTTTTGTTTATTTTGTGTTGTTTTAGATGAGGAATTTTTCTACGTATTATCTTTTCTCTAAGAGCCCAGAGTGTACATCATTCCTTTGTTACACATAGGCTTACTGACTGTTATACACGGAAGAGGTAGCTAAGACTGTAATGAGTTGTTTTGGGGAACCATATTTAACTAAGACAACTGAGTTCCAATGAGCAATGGGCTCATCCAACTTATTTTTATTTTTATTAATTCACAGATGCATATTTAAATATTTTGTCAAAATTTTTGATCTGATACACATTTCTTAAAGGAAAGGATAATCCACTTGCCTTTAAAGAAAACACTATTCACATTTTTAACTACTATCTAACTCCTGCTCATTTTATGATCTTGGCAAGCTGTTCAGAGCCTTGATATCTCCATCTGTAGAAAAATTGTCAGTCTCAGAGATCCTATTATATGTGTGAGTTACCTGGCTCATAGTAGAGGCTCAATATGTTTTTTAAATGTATGATGATTATGTGGAGTTAAAGATGGAAGAAAAGTAGGAAAAAAGCAAAGAAGAAGAAATGAGCAACCTCATTCATAATAAAGACAATGCTGTTGATTTTATTTTTTGTTTTAAGTTGTCTAGCGATCTAAATGTGAAGCTTGAATTACTACAATAAAGAAAAAAATGCAATGCACTTTGGGATGAGAAACATGAATGCTTGTCTGTATCAAAGGCTAATAATGTTTTCTTAAGGATTATCCCTGCCAGAGCTTTTAATGAGCAGAGAGGAGCTATAGTGTTGAAAGACAAGAGTCCTTTGTCATCTTATTATCTAAACAATATTTAATATAAACAAACATTTCTTATTAAAATGTTTGACTATTTTTGCCACTAAGAAGTATTTCTGACAAAGTTAAGCAATATCAAGTTTTTAAACAATTTTTTGAAAGCTAAGATGTAAAAACTATGAAATTAAAATTGAATAATTAGTCCATGGGAAAACTTGAGGTGTTCAAGAAGATACGTTGACTATTTTAGTCCCTGGTTCTAACTTATCAGAATAGCATTATAATATGTTTTTCTAGAGCATGAGGATTGAAAGAGTAAACGTACATTTTAGCCTGTCCAAGGAAGTAATGAATTCTTCATAGATGTTGCAAATTGGTTGGCTGAACTTGATGTAATTTAGCTTTTAATTTGAACCAGAATTATATGAGACCCATATCTTCTCTTATTTCTTTATCTATCCTCTTAAGGCATAAAACAATTCACTCTTAACTATAGCACTTATAAAAAATAGCAATAAAAAATAAATATGTTTAGCGAATTCAGAAATCTATGAGTTACTTAAAATAATAAACCTACCATGTAACTCATTCTTGTCAAATCTTTAAAAAATGTTTTAACATTGATCCTGTGATTGGATGCTTTTGTCTTATGTACTTAGTATCTTGAAGGAAGATGGTTTCCCTTACCTGTGTACTCTCCGGCTCAGCCATTCATTTTTGGATTAAGGGTCACCAGGTAGCATTATTTGGTACTGACATTTGGTATCTCATGGCTGTAAAGCAGATCAGCCCTGACAGGTGAAAAAAGCATAAGCATTATTTTTCACTATTCTTCCAAATGAAAGTAATAGTTATTGATACGTTTCTTATAAACAAGTTTCAAAAGAATTGACATCTCTCTTTTTTTTTTTTAATTTTGAGGAATATTTTCCCTGAGCTAACCTCTGTGTCAGTCTTCCTCTGTTTTGTATATGGGGTGCCGCCACAACATGGCTGCCCCTGAGTGGTGTAGCTCTGCACCCAGGCCACCGAAGCAGAGAGTGCCAAACTTAACCACTAGGCTATGAGGCTGACCCCTGAAATACCTTTTAAAATTATTTAATAGTGGGAAGAACTTGGATTATGCAGTTCAACACCTCTGAACTCAAGTCCTGCTTTACCATTTACTACCTGTAACTTTGAACTTTTCAAAATCTATTTCCTCATTTGATAAATGGGAATATATCTTACTTCATTAGGTAAGAATATAAAATATTTATCATAGTAACTGTTATATTCAGATTACCATTTCAGACACAGTAGGCTAATAACATGAGGTTCTTTCTGATACGTTCCTTTATTTTTCTTTGAAATTGAGAACCTCTAATAAGTATATGACTTGTCAAGCTGGATACAAAATGGCACCTTCTTTCCCCTCCCCCATAAAGAGGGCCACATCACCTCCAAATGTAAATAGACAAGAATTAGAAAATTGTATAATTATCAAGCAATTCAGTGTTCTCCAAATGCTATTCCTTTGAACAAAATAGGTTTGGTTGAGTGGAGCACAATGAAGCATTTGGCTATTTTATAATCATAAATGATTCCCAACCCACATTTTTAGCCCTCTAGAGATGATGCCAGAAGATGGAACATTTTATTTTGCTATGTAAAAGCATTACAAATAGCTACTGGTTCCTAAAATGTACCTCATATTGCAAAGGATATTTTAATTTTGAAAAATCTCAGGAAAAAAATAAACCCTTTAAATTGCATAGATTTCATTTCCTTCTTTTTAATCATTTTGCTTCAACTGGTGAAAATTTTGTCAGTGGTCACCACATGCCACAACTTGTCTCTTGTCTGGGGAAATTGGTTTTCCAGAAGCAAATCTTATATATGAGGTAAATGAACCATTAGACTTCTTCCATGAAATCAATCCAGAAGAATAAATTAGAGCTCTTTTGTAGAGGGGCAGAGAAAATGCTGGAAGCTCTGTTGCTTTCATAGTTTATGTCTGGCTCTGCAGCAGCAGGGACATGGAGTGACTCTCATTTGGAGTTTCAGATACATCAAAAAGGAGTCTCCAAGATGTAGGACAAGAAGGAAGCTGTGCACAGAG